TTTGCGACCGTAATTGGATACGCACCTGCGACCACGGCCAGACGCAGGTGGGTTTTTGGCGGGTTTGCACCAATTTGACCAGGGGCTGCCTGGCTTGAGGCGGGCAGTAGCAAACCATTGAACACCCGGAGGTGTCCTCCCACCGTCAGAGACAATGCGTGGTACTCGTGCTCTACGCCAATCGAGCATTGAGAATATAACCCGTAACCTGTTGTCTCCCATGGCTAGGTTTTACGGGAAGTGGGCCATCGACCACTTCCTAACCTCCGGAGAGGATGGACTAGGATACTGCCAGGGCGCCCAAATCCTGACAGGAGAACGACTCGGGTCCTCAGCCAAAGCCTTCGATTAAATGAACACCCGAAAGGCAGCGGGTCTAGCACATGGTCAGTTAGCTGACTCATGCGGATTGGTGTCCTGGATCTTAGCAGGGAGAAGGGCGAACCTAACTCCCACCCAGCGGTCGCCACGTGGAGGCGCCCAGGACATGAGACTATGGCGCAACAGTAGCAGCAGTGGGTAGACCATCTGTCAGGATCTAGCCACCACCAGCCTCAGCGCACCATAGGCTCTCCCGCCAAAACATACATACATACATACATGGTTGGCGGCATCCGGTTTCGGATTTGCCTGTCACTGTGGCAAGCCACAGGACGCCTGCGCCTACAGAGGGACCATGGATGGCTTGCGCTGCACCACCCACAGCTCCAACCACATACCCCATATCCAGTGTAAATCCGAAGGAATAAGACCGGGAGGCATGCGGATGGGAACCACGTTTCATCAACGGAGCCGGCCCACACTCCTTCACAGGCAAACACAAGCACGCTGTATTTGGGGAATCAACCGCACACAAGGCGGTGGCTGGACCGTAGTCCGCTCCACACTGAGTGCATGGAACCGCTCTTTGAGCCTAGCACGGCCACAAGAACCGTGCACCCCGTCCCCTCCAGCAACGACCAACTGTCTCCTGGAGCCAGTATGAACGATGTAGTGGGTAATAGACAGGTAGGCACCTTGTCAACATACACATCAAGCGCAACCATACCAGGGATATCAAACTACAGCCATTCAATTTAAACGACAAGCTGAAATAAAATAAATCCAATAATGCATACAGATACGGTGGCATAACTCTTCGCTAAATTACCATATGAAGTAAGTTGGTCAGCAACAAATCCGTGATAAGTAAGAAATGTCCACAAGTTACTTAAAATGCTACAAACGCAACAAAATTACCGAAGATAAGCGCAATTAGTGTAAGCAACGTGGCCAGTTAATAGAACATTATTCAGGGAGGCAGAACAAACCAAATAAAGCGGAATGAAATTTAGCCAGCTTAAAAAGACCTAGTTTAAGTGTAAGTTGGTTTAGCCCAACTGCGGTGAAGAAGCATCAAGAATGCAACATCAGCCTCAGCATGGGGCACATACATACATACATGGTTGGCGGCATCCGGTTTCGGATTTGCCTGTCACTGTGGCAAGCCACAGGACGCCTGCGCCTACAGAGGGACCATGGATGGCTTGCGCTGCACCACCCACAGCTCCAACCACACACCCCATATCCAGTGTAAACCCGAAGGAATAAGACCGGGAGGCATGCGGATGGGAACCACGTTTCATCAACGGAGCCGGCCCACACTCCTTCACAGGCAAACACAAGCACGCTGTATTTGGGGAATCAACCGCACACAAGGCGGTGGCTGGACCGTAGTCCGCTCCATACTGAGTGCATGGAACCACTCTTCGAGCCTAACACGGCCACAAGAACCGTGCACCCCGTCCCCTCCAGCAACGACCAACTGTCTCCTGGAGCCAGTATGGACGAGGTAGTGGGTAATAGACAGGTAGGCACCTTGTCAACATGCACATCAAGCGCAGCCACACCAAGGATATCAAACAACAGCCAATCACTTGAGAGAGAGAGAAAGAAAAAGAGAAAAACTGGATTAATGCATAAGGAAACGGTGACATAAACCTTAATTAAATAGCATACGTAATAAGTTGTTTACAAACACATCCCAGCTAAGTGCACGAAGTCAGGAAGTATAGTTCACGGTATGCCACGAACACAAAAATCTTATGGAAATCGAATACAACTGGCTAAAGCGATATGTGCAAGTTAATGGAATAGAGTACATGGAGATATTTATATAAGAAAGAAAAGCATTAAGGTAAAAACTGTAAACCCACCACCTGAAATAAAGAGACTTAGCATGCAAGCACGCGGTTAGTAAATCGAAATCAGCGTGCCTACAAACGCTGCGCCGGCTCGTCGTAATTCTCTGCAGGACCCATCGTCGCTTCTGTAGTGGCCCCAAAGGACCTAGCTCATGGCCCACTAGACATTTATATGAGAAAGAAAGGCATTAGGAGAGAACCGAAAACCCACCACCTGAAATAAAGAGACTTAGCATGCAAGCATGCGGTTAGTAAATCGAATTCAGCGTGCCTACAAACGCTGCGCCGGTGCTGCCTACGTTCACTGCGGGACCCGTCGTCGCTTCGGCAGTGGTCCCGAGTGACCTCTCTCATGGCTCACTAGGCCTGCCTGACTAAGGCACTCGCGACCGCATGTTCTACAACACAATGCGCTCGATGTCGATGGAGTACAATTCATCGGTGCTTGCCGCTTCCGCACTTGCCGCTTCTTCTCTGCATGCATGAGGGCTTTCTCCCGCACCTCAGCAACTGCCTTCGTGATTAGATCGCGCCATGCACCACGATCAACCGCCTTCGATTCCCATGATCTGCAATCAAGATTAGAACGTGTGAGGCTCACTTTAATCATGTCCTGGTAACGTAACTTGGGTTTCCCAGCATGCCGCTTCCCTATACTCAGCTGACCGTATAAAAGTTGTTTCGGTATTCGCGTCGAATCCATACGGCTCACATGACCGAGCCATCTCAGGTGTCGCAGTAAAAGTATGCAGTCCACTGCATACATCCCACTTCGGCGCAACACTTCCGTGTCTGCAACTCTGGCGCCCCAGCCGATCCGCAGAATTCGTCGCAGACACTGCTGATGGAACCGCTCGAGATATCGCACATCCCGACGGTACATCGTCCACGTTTCACTGCCGTATAGAAGAACGGACAGTACCATGGATTTGTACACCATCAGCTTCGTGCCAATGCTAAGCTGATGGTTGTTCCACACTCGGTACTCTAGCTTCCCGAATGCCGCTGCCGCCTTCGACACGCGATTACGCAACTCAATGTGTAGCTGCTGATCAGTCGACATCACACTCCCAAGGTAGCAGAAGCGGGAGGTGGTTTCCAATACTTCAGCACCAATGCTGATTTGCGGCAATATTGAAGATTGCACCTCCGGTGAAGGCTGAAACAGACAGACAGTTTTGCTTGTGTTGATGGTGAGCCCGAATTTGGCCGCTGTCGAAGCCAGAGCACTAGTCATGTGCTGCAACTCATCCGCGTTGTGTGAAAACAACGCACAGTCGTCAGCAAACAGCAACATACGGATAGTTGTCTCACAGACTAGAGTTCTCGCACCGAAACGACGGATGTTCAG